CTAAGAAATATAAACTTATGTAAACTTTTAAAAAGCTTTAATCAAATTTGATTTTCCTTCTTATTTTTGAAGTTTTGAAGTCGTAAACCAAACCTACAAATTATGTTCCATTAGCATCGTGTTTCCTCTATCCCTACCTTTCTCTTATTAATTGTATATATATGTTCGAACTTATTCTAATTATGTTAGATATTGCTATTATATAAAGACCCAAGTAATATAAATATACATAAAGTTTTCAAAAAATTTACTCTGAAGGGAAATAATTTGAATCTCAACTTAAAAATTAGTTTTTCATTCATTGTTGAAGGTTACCCGAACGCCTTATGTGGAATTGATATCTCACCTAACTTGGCACTCTCGAAAGTCTTCCTGGACACTCTTGATGAAGGTACCTCAGTCAATTCTCAATGCAGCAGGAAAGAAAGTTCCCACATCCTACCTGGACAAGAATGTTAAGTCTCAGTTCCGCACTAAGGTTTCAGTGTGTGATGATTCCATTAGCATGGAAGGTGAAGGTGCACCCAATGTTGTTGGTCTGTTTGAGGGGAAATCCAATGATAACTGCCCTTTAAACAGATATGGTTGTGATTTGGCAAATCTTCCCGCTATTCTGCTGCAGCAAGTGTGTATCCTTGTCTTCGCATTTTGCCTCTTACTTTTTGGGTTAAACTTGCTGCTTATTCATTTTTATGCTTGCTCAATCATCATATATGCATCCATCTAAAATCTGAAATAGGGGTTCTACAATTACCTAAGGACATAACCAACAAATACTTCAGTTGCCCCATCGTTTTGAACTTTTGCTTATTCTCCTAATGTCATGGGCCTAGACAAGGCTTAGAAAATGTACTGTATGAATATTATTTACTAATCCTTTCATACATTGTAATCATATTATTATTTTTACATTAGAGGCAAAATCTATATTTAATATATATTTGACATGATAAAATGTCTGTTGTGGAGGTTATTAGATACTCCATTTGTGTTTGTTTACTTCATCTTCCCTTTCTTACTTTTATACTACTCTACATACTTTTCCATCATCTCACTTTGCGGTGGGGCCTCTTAAATTTTGATGTGAAATGGACCTACCTGCTTGTAGTAAATACATTTGGTAGTGACTACATAGGAACCATACTTGCCCAAGCCACCTTTTTGAAAACACAGATCTGAGCATGCCATGCAACTTTTTATTGCAGGTAGCCAGCCAAGTCATACGGTGGCTTCACGAGGAAGCTCTTATGGTGGGTATAAAGGCTAACAGAGACTTTTTGTCATTGTGGTTTGAAATGGAAGAAGGGGAAACGGTTGGCCTCGTAGCCCACATTGACCCTGAAGATCCAATAGGATGCATCTCTTGGTGGTTGGTGATGGAGGATGGCTATTCAGAGGAACACAAGCTTCAAGCTGAAATTTGTAATGGCGAATCCGAGAGAAGAAAGTTCTTAGGCTATTTGTCTTTGGGTGTATTGTACTCTACTTTGCTGGACTTGGTTAGCTTGAGCAGTGGCTCAATGACTAATTAAATAGTAGTCTCGAATTCTTCTAATTAATGTGGTATTTGCGGGGCAAAGGAAAAGGTGTTCAATTTTGATACAACAACATCATCCAAGTTTTAGTCCCCAAAAGATTCGATGAAATTCAATATGATGTTTTAATTATTTATGTTTTTTTTATAACGCTGGTGTTCGGGTTATCTGGCTTGATTGATCCCGCTGCTTCTGAAGTTAACGACTGGGCATTCAGATAATCAGATTAGTGGCTTGATATTTTTGTTCTTAGATTCAAATCAATTGAGTAACCCTGAGTTTTAAGAAATCCAGAATAGTGTTAAACAAAAATTGATGTTTTTAACTGTTGAGTTGCACGCTATACTGCCTTTTTGTCGTTTGGTTTCATGATTTCATATTCCCTCACCAGCAATGGTTGTTGACATGCCGTTATTTGGAGACCAAAAAGCCCCCAAGTCATCGTATATTACTATATTCGTAGCCACAATGGCCAAAAAGTCCCAAAACGTAATTTGCCATTTACATGTTCTTTGAACCCGATTATATTGATCGGCTGTGACCTGTTAATTATTTTCCATTTATTGTTAATTATTTTCCATTTATTGTTAATTTACTTATCCTACTTTTCTTTTCGGGTTGTTCTAAAATAAGTGTCACATTTTCTTTTGGTAAAAAAATATGTGATATATAATACTCCGTATTTCACTTGATTATATTCAAATTTCTGTCACAAATTTTATTTTTTCAATCACTTTATTAATAATGAGATCAAATCCATACAATCGGATGGAAATCGTAAATATTTTATATTGGTAATAACCCATAAGTTATAGTTCGACTTTTCTTGCAATAGAATTAACAATACGAATTTAAGGATTAAACAAGTTGTGAATAGAATGATAGTGATATATAGGTATATTAATTTTCAATCATTATTGTTGTGTGGTTGTTCATAATCAGATTTTAACATGATATGAGATTATGAAGGTATCCTTGAAGATGTGAGATTTATGTGATGTAATATTCAAGAGTAGAATGCTTGAATAACACACATTATTTGATGAAATTATTTGTTAAAATAATTTGAGATCAAAACATGCGTTATTATATGAGAAAATGGTCAAAGTGGTACATGAAATTGTTTCAAGTGGAGTTAGTACATCTTACACTTGAAACTATAGCACATGAAGTACATTTTTAAAGTTGATTAAGTACATTTGCTCTTTTAAAACGTTAAAATAGCTTGTCTGGCCAAACTATCAGTTTGTAATATATCGTTCTAGTCCAAGTCATCAAATAATTAATCTATAAACTCTAATTTCCTCCAGTTCACTCGTTTCCACATTCGCTCTTCGTTTCATATTTCTCACATTTGCTCTCCCTTCTCTTGATCTTTACCTTATATTTCTCCCGTCTGCTCTGCAAGGGCGGAGCTAAGACACTGGGCCGAACTGGAGCATTACAAAGAATATTTTTGGGGAAAAATACACAGAACTTTTACTTTAAAATCAAAGCATTTTTTAAATTTGAGGTGGACCAGGATCTAGGTTGGCCCCTCTAGCTCCGCCCGTGCTGCTCTCCTTTTCTTTCGTCTTCTCTCCCTGCTATCCCGTCGATTTCTTCTTTTATTTGATATCGGCCCATCTTTATTATAGCAAGAGAAGAAAAAAATAAAATAGAGCAAAACGAAGAAGCCAACAGGATAGCAGGGAAAGCAGACGAGAGAAATATAAGATATAGATCGGAAAGAAGGGAGATGAAGAGCGAAGGTGAAAACGAGTGGACTGGAGGAAAATAGAGTTTATAAATTAATTATTTGATGATTTGGACCACAATTGTATAACACAAACGAATAGTTCATGTTATAATAGAGCAAATGTACTTGATTGACTATAAAAATACTAGTTAATGTACTTTAAAATTTCAAATGCAAGATGAAATACTACTTACTCCCGTTGAAACAACTTCATATATCATTTTGACCATTTCCTCGTTATTATGTTGATCTTTTAAGAAAGTAAGATGATTGGTCCTTTAAAAAAAAGTAGGCTAAAGGTTCAAATAGGCCCTTGAACTTACTTAAAGTATTCAATTAGCCCCTTATATATGAGGTTCTGCCTCGGCCGTCGCTAATTGGGGCGGTTCCCGGTGGAATTTTTTGATGAGATTTTTTGAGAATCTTCTTCATCAAGTCTAGTTTACCCATACCAAATTTCAGCTAAAAATTCAACCGGGAAGGCAGTCAAATGATTTTCCGAAATGTACTACGCTGTTTAACTTCGCAGTTATCTTTAAAAAATCATTTAACTACCTTCCCGGTTGAATTTTTAGCTGAAATTTGGTATGAGTAAACTAGACTTAATGAAGAAGATTCTCAAAAACTTTCATCAAAAAATTCCACCGGGAACCACCCCAATTGGCGACGGCCGGGCAGAACCTCCTTTATAAGGGGCTAATTGAACACTTTAAGTCAGTTCAGGGGTCTATTTGACCCTTTAGCCAAAAAAGTATGATCGGCCATGATGGGAGGCAAAAAAGCTCAGATTACTTGAAATTAGTAAGTAAAAAAACATCTGAGTTTTTAAAATGTTATACTCCTAACTTTAAATAGTTAGTCATTAATTTTAAGGAAAAGGGGCAAATTAGTCCGCGTACAAATAAAAAAAGGTCAAATAAGTCTTTATATAGGAAGTTCTGTCCGGCCGTCGCCATTTGGGGCGGTTACCGGTGGAATTTTTTGATGAGATTTTTTTAGCATCTTATTCTTTAAGTCTAGGTTACTCATACCAAATTTCAGCTAACACTTCAATTGGGAAGACATTCAAACGAATTCTTGAAGATAAGTGTGCAATTAAAAGTGCAGTTATCTTCAAGAATTCATTTGAATGCCTTCCCGATTGAATTGTTAGCCGAAATTTGGTATGAGTAAACTAGACTTAGGCTCTGTTTGCAAGCCCTTAATTTAAGTGCTTGTGGCTTTTTTTTAAGAAAAAAGCATTTATTTTTTTCAAACACTACCAACTTTTACTTTCTCGGCCTTCGTGTAGAATCTACTTTTTACTTTTTCTATTACACAAAAAACACTTATTTTACCAAATACTATCAACTTTTACTACTAATCACTTTTTCCCAAAAAGTACTTTTATTTAAACACAAGCACTTGCAAACAAAGCCTTAATGAATAAGATGCTCAAAATATTTCATCAAAACATTTTACCGGAACCGCCCTAAATAGCGACTGCCGGACATAGCCTTGTCCTCCTATATAAGAGTTTATTTGACTTTTTTTTGTTTGTAGATGTGCTTATTTGCCCATTTTTTCTTAATTTTAGAGGAAGTAAATAAAAGTTTATCTTCCAAAATGGAGAAAATGCCACAAATAGTCCCAGACTATTGTGGCATTACCAAATTTAGTCCCAGATTTTGTATTTGCTCATATTTAATCCTTCACTTATATGTATAGACCAACTTTAGTCCTATTTTGTTTTGGCATTATATCATCCGTTAATTAAGACACAATACCATTGCACAACACTCTGTTTTGGAATGATTGACCCACGTCCCACAATGTGATCGTTTGGGAGATGCTCCTCTTTCAACCGGATGAATTTCTTCTCCATTCTTGGATTAAAGCACTCTTTGATTCGTTCTTCATAAATTCACAATTGATATTCGAATTACTCTACACACTTCCAGTATTTGAAAACTATGGCATCCATCACAGTGACGACGGCAGCCGCCTCTTTCAGCAAACCTCCGAACTCCAGCGGCGCACCCCTCTTCATGAATGTTGCCTTCTTCCCATTCTCGTAGAAGAAACAGACGGCTCCACCCAAGAAGTCCAAATTAAACCTTCTCCTGCAAAGAAGAGCTTTGCAAGAGGTATGGGCCTGATAGAAGAATCTTTCTGTCGGAGGGACTTTTGGTCAAATCACAAATCCCGGAGTATTTGCGTGGTGAAGCTACTGGAGATTATGGTTATGACCCTTTTCGCCTTAGCAAGAAACCTGAAGACTTTACCAGGCCAAGGATCCAGACCAGACCGTCATCTTGACAGTGAAGGAGATCAAGAACAGGGGTGAGCCATGTTCTCCATGTTGGGACTTGGGATTCTTCATCCATGACCGGGCAGGGACCTGTAGAGAACCTTGTGACCCACTTAGGTGACCCTTCCGCCAATAATCTGCTCATTGTTATGGATGGAGTAGCGAACTCCTACCCTGCAATTTTCTTTTTCTTTCCAGCACTCCCTCCCCCCCTCCATTTGTACACCCACATTTCGCATGATGGGCCATGAAGGAAGGAAAGAAGCTGTGTTGGAGCTTGTGACTCTAAACATCCATATTTCATCATTCTGCACCCTCATAAATTCATGAATTCAGCTTCCATTTGAATCAGATGCGTACATTGGGTTTTTTGCAGGCAATTTAAAAAGAATTTTACCATTGTGCCCTCTTAGTTAACGGAGGTAGGCGGTCAAGTGTTTTAGGACTAAAGTTGGCAAATAATGAGACTTGGGGGTTTATTATGGTGATATAGAAAGAGTAGGACTGAATTGGGTATTGTTACAATAGTCCGGGACTATTTCTGACATTTTCTCTCCAAAATGGTAAACTTAGGGTTAGTAAATATTTTCTTTTACCAAATTTGAATGTATCATGAACCAAAATTTTCCAAGTTCCAATTCGAAGTAACGAACATAATCTGAGCATTAAATTATTCGAACCCCATGTGGGTCGCCTTCTTCCAACCCTACCAAAGCCTCTGAAAACTCCTAATCGAGGCTATTTGGTTTTATATTGATATAACACCAAAGAGATGCACGATTCTGAGTAGTTTTGGTAACGTTCAGCCATATGTTCTTCTTTCCTGTTGCATTGATATGGTCATTTCATTCATGAATCCAGAGAAAATCATAAGGGTCTCTGGCAATTGAGGTGTGTTGCAATTCTTGAATGCTGGGGAGTTTTCCCAGGAATGCATTAATTGCAGTAGGATATACCCACACGAGGTTTCCTATTCTTATTTATTTCGGTAATGCGTGAATTGGGTTGTGTGAAAGTTTTGATCTTAGCTGTGGGATTTATCAGATATTTGTATTTTTTGAGATATCTCTGGAGATTGAAGAGTGTTATGATTATTTCACATCATGAACTTGTGGGATTGAACAAGTGGTTTTCTCTGGTTTTAGCTGCCTTTGGATAGACATGCTTATACATCTGTTCAAGAGGTGGCATTGTGAATTGACAGTGAGATTTCTTGTGATTGATTAGAATTTGAGTTTGTTGATTGGGTGCTGGGTAATTTAGATGAGGATACAATTCTTGAGATGCATTTTTAAGGTGAGGACGTTTTAGCATTTACCATAGAATTTAGTGAGGATATGTCGGGTGGATCTCCAACTGTTGGAGGTGGATATGTGAGGCAGAGGCACAGTCAAGGGTATTTTTCAAGTGGTGATGATCTTGAGGATGATGCTTGTTCTAGAAGTTTTACGGAGTCACCCCCATTTCCTACTACACGGAGTTGGGTTGAGGTTGTAGAAAACTTTCTTTGGTTCTCCTCAGTTCTTTTCATCATCTATTATGGGGATCGCCACTACAATTTCATTTACATTCTATGGCATGATAATCGCATCAGAAGGTATGTCCTTGATTGTCCCTTATTTTTTGAATGTTTTAAGCATACAGTTGTTATAATCATTTTTCAGGCCTGTTCATTATGATATTTTTTTAGATTTTGAGAAGAATGTGCATTGTTATTTCAATTTAAATTGTGTTTGGTTGTTTGGATTTTGAGAAGAACGTGCATTCCTGTTTCAATTTAAATTGTGTTAATGGAACAGTACACTGCACTATGCATTAGTCGCAAAGGTTGGTATTATTATGCTACATTCATTTTAACATCTGTACTTTTAAAGCTATTTTATGGATCAGAGAGCGGATCGCTAACTTGATAACCTGTGTGATCTTTCAATATCAGATTATAAACAGATTTTTCTACCATACCGTCAGTGGCAGAGGCTTTAGTTCAAGACTTCAAGGGTGTTCAGTTGAACACCCAAGAATTTGAAAATTAAATGTAAAAGTACACATAAAATTGATGTAACAATTAAAATATTGTATTTTGTTTATAACATTTCTTACCCTTAAACCCTATTTGCTAGTTTTTTGTTGTTGGAAAAATTACATTTTTTCAATATTACTTACTCGTATAATATTTTAACAATAAAATAATTTTAAACACCCAACATTTGATCGCAAGATCCGCCACTGCAAGTAGCAACCTTCTTCACTACACTATCTGAAATGGAAAAAAGAGCTTGAGTTATTGTTTTGGCTGAAATTGATGTTTATACTTTTATTTTTAGATTTTTTCACTTTAATTTATCTAAATCAAAATGAGTATTTTTTAATAAAGTGGTATCAGTCACCTCAGCCATTTTGATCCTTACTAACGAGATCTAAAAGATCTTAGCTGATTACTTGCTCTTAGATTTTGTTATTCTCTTCTCTAAACTACTCTGTATGATATTAGTCTTCTTCTTTTGGGGCTTTCAAACAGTGTATAAAGTATTAACAAGGTTTACATGCTTTTATTTTGGAGGTATGGTAGTACATTAGAATATCTATCTAGTTTCAGTTGTCCTGTGAGCCCCAGGGAGCTTGGGATTTTGATACTCTTAGCCTTTATACTTTTACCAAAATATAGCTCTTCCCAATGGTCTTGTACAGACCCTAGCATTATTTTGTATTGTTTATATGGGGTTCATTTCAAGAAAGTAGTGATCTTGTATTCTTGTGGTCAATACGATCCTTTTCAATCACAAGTTTTTTATGAGTCCATTTAGGTTGTGTGCTCTAGGGTCCTTGAGATAGAATTTCTTGATCCTTATGTAATTGAGTAATAATTACAATAACCCTATGAACATTGCAATGACAACACCAATAATAAAAATTAAAGAATAATTTTTCATACTATGCGATTCTAAATATTACGGACTTGAAATACTAGGAGTCAATGTTATTAATATTGTTGTCGCTGCTTTGAGAGTTTCTCCAGTTCTAAGAAGTTGCGAGGCAATGTCAGGTTATCTCTGTTCACGAGAAGATTCCCATCTCTACTCTTGGTGCATTAGATTATATGGAGTTACTTAATAAAAATAATTGGTTTATGGCTTGTAATGTGACTAAAATTGTCAACGGTTAATGAGTCGGTGCTGTTAGCACCTATCATCACATAGCACATACTCCATCTGTTGTAAGATGTGACACTGTCTTTAAGAACCCCATTGAGATAATTTTTCCAGGATTTTCTGTTTGAAAGAAAATGGGAAGAAAAGCAAGTTTAGATCCACTAAGTTAAAATTGTAAAAGACAGAAAAAGGTATAAGTTGTGATAAGTACAAAGTTAGTAGTGTTTAAATTAGAAAAGCTAGCAATATTTTCAGGTCGTGCTAAAAATAAAACTGAATCCAGCAACTAGGGAAGGAGTTAGTATCTACTAGCATGAGTGGAATCAATCTTGAGAAAAGCATAAATATTACGGAGTATAACATTACTCCCTCTTTCCCAAAAAAGAGTCATTTTTAGCAGGGTGCAGCTTTTATTTTTTAGCCAACTCAATCAAAGTACAAGTATTTACATGGAAAATCACACTTTTGGTCCCTCAATTACAACCCAAATTGAAATGGCATCCCCGCGTTTTTTTGTAAATGTGATCCCTCAACTATCTAAAATTTTGCAAATATTGTCCTCGTTCAATGTGTTTCTGAAGTAACACGGGGACTAATAATATTCACAGGCGAGGACGTTATTCCAGTTTGGATACTAAATGAGGGACAAAAGGTGTGATTTTCTGAGTATTTACATATCATGAAGTACTCCTAAAACATATTTAAGATTGTTTGGAGGAATTGACCAAAATTGTTTCCGAATTGGATTTATAGGAATCTTACTTTAAAGGAAAAAGGTGCAAATAGGCCCATGTACTAACCAAAAAAGGTCAAATAAGTCCTTATTTAGAAAGCTCTGTCCGGCCATCGTCATTGGGGGTGGTTCCCGGTGGAATTTTTTGATGAATTTTTTTGAGCATCTTATTCATCAAGTCTAGTTTACTCATACCAAATTTCAACTAAAACTTCAATCGGGAAGACATTCAAATGAATTCTTGAAGATAACTGCGATTCTAACTGCACAGTTATTTTCAAGAATTCATTTGAATGCCTTCCCGGTTGAATTTTTAGTTGAAATTTGGTATGAGTAAACTAGACTGGATAAATAAGATGCTCAAAAAATTTCATCAACAAATTCCGCCAGGAACCACCCCAAATGGCGATTACCAGACAGAGCCTCCTAAATAAGGGCTTATTTGACCTTTTTTTGTTAGTACATGGGTCTATTTGCACCTTTTCCCTACTTTAAATGAAAGTTGAATTTTAAACCAGGCTCCTTTTTGGGACAATAGTCATTAAAACCGAAGATTTTGAAACAAGACACTGTTTTGGGACAACAGAATTTTTTTAACAAATGTTTTTGAAACAAGACTCTTTTATAGGATACCAAAGCTCCCAACAAGACTCATTTTATGTAGTTAAATATGTAGTAAAATGAAGAGGTATCGGAGGACACTAAAATGGGAGTCGTACTTTAGTTATATTTCTTTATGCATTTAACAGTTCCAAGATCACTATTTTTATATTTTTCACATACTCGATCTAGGAGTTTCAGTTTCATGATATTTTCACACATTTTTATTTATGGATCCATGGTGGTTAGTAAATGTGTTGTTGAGAACCCTCCTTTAATTAAAGAGTATCTGAAAAATTTTATAACATTCTAGAGAAGTGTAGAATTTTCTAGAACTCTCCAGAGAACTTTAGAGAAGTGTAGAACTCTTTAAAAGCTTGTGGAAGAGTGTGGAACCCTGTGGAATTTATGGGCATGTGTGGAACCTTCCAAAACATTATGGAAGAGTTTGAAAGGATATGGAAGAAAGTGGAAGAGTGTAGAAACTCCTAGAGTGTGGAGTATTATCTAGAGAATTAATCTCCACCCTTAGATAGTACTATAGTAGTCATCCCTACCATTCATCGTGGAGATGAAGTAGTATAAATAGGGGTAAGAGGCTACATTCCTATTCATTCAAGCCAAGAGAGAAGTCATTTCATAGAGTGAGAAAGTAGATAGTGAGAGAACCTCTTTGAGAGAGAAGAGAGACAACTTGGAAAGACTGCATCCTCAAGCTTGAGTGAGCCACCATAGAATGAATCAATTTTGAATCAATTTTGGGACCAGATGGCATACCGATAGAGGCTTAGAGAAGTTTGGGAGAGACAGACATCAAGTGGCTAACACGTTCTTTCAACATGATTTGGAGCAACAACAAAATGCCAGTGAGATGGCGGAAGAGTACTCTCATTCCCCTATTTAAAAAAGGGTGATGTATAAGAATTTGCCAACTATCGAAAGATTAAGCTTATGAGTCACATTATGCCTGGACGCTCAACAACTGAGACCATTCACCTTCTTAGACAAGTTGTGGAGAGGTATAAAGACACTAAAAAGGATCTGCATTTGGTGTTCATTGACTTAGAAAAGACATATGATAGGGTACCTCGAGAAGTCCTTTGGTGAGCCTTAACTAGAAAAGGTATATCATGTAAGTATATGAGTATCATCATGGATATGTATGAGGCTTGTACTACAAGTGTCCATACTAGTGTATGGAGGATGGCAGACTTCTCTATTACTATTGGAGTGCATCAAGGATCAGTTCTGAGTCCTTTCTTATTTGTTATAGTCATGGATGAACTCACGATGTCAATTCAAGAAGATATACCGTGGTGCATGATGTTTGCTGACGATATTGTATTGATTCATGAGACGCAATCGGGTGTTAAAGCAAAGTTGGAAGTATGGCGACAAACATTGGAGTCCAAGTACATACTGCTACTTTCTCTCGAACCAAAAAAATTTTGATTTAGTATATTAGTGAATCTTCTATTTCTCTTGATATAGGTTCAGTTTTGATTTCTACACACGTCATTTTTTGAGGGGTCTACAACCAATTCAATGCAATTCATCGGTGTAGGAAAAGTCTTTTTAAGTAGAGATTTTTTCTTTCAATCATATTATGATTATGTGGCTTACCGCGTGAAATAGCAATCGAACTTTTCCAGCCTTTTGTCATTCGGGATCTAATAAGAAAACATCTTGCCTCGAATATAGGGGTTGCAAAAAGGCAAATTCGACAAAAAGAATATCTTTTATCTTTCTTATATTCTTATGTTATTGTTATCTTATGTTTATCGTTATTTTATCTATCTTATTTTACTTTTTTCTCCTTATCTTTCTTCTCTTTTTAGCGCTGATATCATGGATTGATTGATGTTAGCCGACCCCAAATTCTTTTGGGATTAAGGCTTGGATGTTGTTGTTGTTGTATCTTTGTAATCCAACTATTCTTTGGTATAGTGGATGAATCTCCGCATTAGAGATTTTTTCCCGTGTGCTCTCAATACTACCTTGAATTCCCAAGTGTCTATATTAACTTTACGAAGTGGGGGCTTGAGAACATGTAATGAGCATCAAGAGTGTGAGATGAGCGAGAGTTGACCACAGTGAAACTCTAGGCGGCGATCTAATCTCTTAGCCTTCTCCTCCTCAACCAGTAAGAGTTTTGGATCATGGCAAAGTTATGTAGGCAGTGAAGTAACGAATTAAAGGTTTTCCTACACTTCCGCTCTTACTTGATTTCTACCTTTGAGAATTCATGTTTTGTTCCGACTTCTTCTTTGGCCGAGAGTTTTTTCCGCTTTAGGTGACCGTGGCATATCTTCTTCTCGTAGCAATGTCTAGAGGATGTGTGTTTCTCGGCGGTGTAACTCATCTAGTGGTGACTTTCATTGTCCATGGTTGAGAAAGCTTATTTAACCTGGTTTTTTGGGGTCTCAATTTTCGCCTTTCTCTTAAACCACCGCCTCGCTCTGGGAGAAAGGAAGTGCTCAACTGGATCTCATGTGTGGTGGCTGGTCAAACTGATTATTCAAAGAAATCCTGCTCGGTAGAATTTCCTTTATTGGTTGCTAGTCAAATCAATTCTCCCTTTCCGGTGATCAGTGAAGCCGAATCTTTTATTTGTAATTTTTTATTTTTTCTTTGGAGTAGCAAGTGCATCAAGGATGTTAGACTAGAGTACATTATTCCAGAGTTAGCGATTTGGAAGAATTCATTGGATCTTTTCTGTTCTACGTCTCATTCCATTGTAGCCTTAGACTATTACCTGTTTCTTTGCTATCATTTAATGAATAAATAAGTTAAATGATTTTTAAAAAAAAACTTCATGAAGCAGGAAAAAGAGAGTTTTTCTAACATGTGTTTCACAAGATAGAATAGTTTTTCTGAATCATCACCAGCTGTCATACGGAGTATGTTTCTCATTAAATGGCTGACATAATATGGTGTTATCAAATATGTTTGTTTGTTTCCATGGATTAATGAGTATTCCTTAAAGTTATTACCTAATTACATTCAAAGGCTACACTGGTTGCACTTTTTGGTTCTCATTTTTTTGTGGGACTGAATTTGGTCCTCCACTATGGACTTTTAACCCATATTCATTCTTTTTAATGGTCCTCAAAATATTTGGGACCTATATCGCATAGACTAGGACCAAATTGAGTCCAAAAGAAAGATGATGACCAAATTGAGCAATATTATGTAGTTGATCAACCATAGTTGTGAAATAGACCTTCTAGGGTTAATTATACATTCTTGGTCCTGAACGTCACACTTCTTTGAAGCACTTATCAGAGACAGAGACAGAGCAATGCGTGACTGTGCCTTCTTTAGACTGCTTCAAATTTCTAAATGTTCAAATATGGGAGCTGGACTAAACTTTAAACTTTGAGGATTAGAGTATCTTGGCTTAAATATATTTTTATTCCATGCAGATATAGTGTTTATTTTGTTCCAGGTCCCCCCAATTTCTTTTCATCTCTGTAGCTTATGTTTTTTATTTTTAATCTCTCATCAATCCTACCAACCTCTTTTTGACAGCATAACATTTATGACTAACATGTTTTCTATCTTTCTTTTCGATGTCATAAAGTATGTAAAGTTTATTTCAAGAGAGCCATTGGGACACATATTAAAAATGTAAATTATTAGATTCTTTCAGTTGTAACTCCACTAATAATGTCTATAAAGTTATGAACAACTGAAAGTGTTCGCATTAGAGTTATGCAAGCGTCGTTATTTTTTCCCTTTCTAAAAGCAGCCTGTCAGAGTTAGAGAGATTAAAGGAAAATAATATAAACTGCAGAGATGAAAAAAGTGCAAGGCTCTGAAACGAAGTGCTATATTTGCAAGGATTAAAAACATATTTAAACCTATTATCGTTAATTTTTAGACTTTCTTTTTAATGTGAGTGCTGTTTCGTGAGGCACACAACTCAGGTGTGCCTTGCGCCTTGGTGTGAGGTACTAAATACAATATCAACTGTATTTGTTTTATATGTTTCATCAGTTAACACCCTTAAGAACTCTCTACTTGGTGTGCAGAATACCATTGTATGTGGGGATGTTTGCCATCGGCTTGAATATTCTCTTTTTCTTGTATACTAGTACATTAGCTTGGGGACTCAGAAAATCATCTGAGAAGTGGGAAATTTCAAGCATAGCTGCTTTGCCATTTCTAACACTTAATGGACTTCTATCTTCCTGCTTGTAAGAGGAGTTTGTGATCATTTCGTAATCAGTTTCTTGTATCTTTTGAGACCAATCTTTGCTTACATTTTTTAATGCTTTTATGCAGGCTCACTTATGCATTGTGGCCTATTTGGGGTTTCTTGACTCTCCCTCTTGTGGTATGACGCCCTGTGTTTTGATGGTTTGAAAATGTTTTGTCAACGTAATAGATAAAGGGTCCCCTTGAAACTCAGAAAGTGGTAGAAATAAGTGAACAAGGGAAATAAAATGTTGAGGGTGGAGGTATCCCATGTCACCCAATACATATTATGGAAATAACTATTTCATATCGCAACTATTTAGTACTACGTATATAATAAAAAATAACAGAGGCACTACAAATCCAGTTAGTCCGACCATAAAAACCAGTACCAAATCATTGAATAAAGGTTAAGTGGTCCGAATTTGTAGTAAAAAGGTGACTCCATGTCATTTTTGTTATATGCTTAAATAGTTGCGGTATTAATTTGTTTTTGTATAGTATGAATGCTTTTGGTTGTTCCTACATTCCGGAAAAAAAATCTCTAGTCATTTTTGTTTGTTCCTACATTCCAAAAAAAGTATCTTGTGCACAATTTACATATTTGCTATATCCATGAAATTATGTGATCTAGGAGCTTTCTTTTTATTTTCAGAAGTACATTTGAAGAGAGGGCCTGCCAAAAGTGATTTTAATGTGTCAAAAGCGCTTTTACATGTAGAAGTGACTTTTAGGTGACATTTTCAAAACAGCTTTTAAAAAGTCAAATGGCACTTGAAAGTGTTTTTGAGTGAAGCACTTGGCAGGTGGTTTTTCGTAAACTGCTTTTGAGATAAACACTTCCTTGGAAAATCTAGCCAAAAGCATAATAACCTAAGGTGTTTTTTCATGTTTTTATTAAAACTGCTTAACAGAAGCACATCCAAACGATCCCTTAGTGAATGAAAACTTTATCCACTTTTAGTTCTGGTGATATTTGAGATAAACACTTCCTTGGAAAATCTAGCCAAAAGCATAATAACTTAAGGTGTTTTTTTCTTGTTTTTTTATTAAAACTGCTTAACAGAAGCACATCCAAACGATCCCATAGTGTATGAAAACTTTTATCCACTTTTAATTCTGGTGATATTTGTAACACATTTGCTTCAATTTGTTTGCAGTTCACTCTATTTATGGTTTCCATGGTTATACTCCCAAATTTGGTACTTAGGACGTTTAAGCCTCAAGCAGACATGTTCCGTACAGATTAAACCATTATTTTGGGCTCATTAGGACCTCATTTCTGCAACCTAACTAAGTTCATGATGTTTCTCCCATTGATGATATTATCTTCAGTCCTTCTGAGGTTGAAGTTGTCATTTGACTGAGGAAAAAGGTGGCTACTGACTAGCTCCCTCCATGGGTGCTTTGTAAATAAGTTGTGTTTTAGACCTTCTAGCAGATATGTTGGTTCTTTTGGAAATTTGTATGACATATAAAAGCACAGAAATCTGCCATTTTCACTGGTCTCATATTAGCAGAGATGAAAAGTAGAAATGGCTAAAAGGAAGGATGTAGTAGGATAAAAGATGTTTTGCTTTTCATGAGCATATGTTTTTAATGTACTACTGTTCTTTTGGTCTAATTATGAAAGGCACATTACTAATATATAGGTTTCTGTAGCCAGCTGCTTCTACATTTTGTATGGGGCAAAGAATAGGAAAGCCATGTTTTGTACGTAGTATTTTGCAAATGGTTTCATTTTGTATAATACTTCATCCTTTCAAAAATAAATGTATGTTTGTTCAATGAATAAGGTTTTAATTTTGATACGGTGTGCTCTAACTCATTAATTGTATTTATTTTTAAATTTGTCATTGACTGCCTTAACTATATATATTTTATATAGTTCACTTGTACGTTTTTATATAGTTCACTTGTAGTTCTTTTTTAGCCTCTAATAACTTTGTGTATCAAACGTTTAAAATATGCAAATTCAGTTTTGCAGTTTAATTTAATAAAAATTTTATCAAATAAGATAATTCAGCGTCTTGCACCTAGGCTTCTCTAGGGTTGCGAGGTATTTTGGGGGTGGCGATCTCCTCTTGCCGGCATGCAGGCTGGTCGCTCGCCAACGAAGCAGCTTTCTCGAACAGGACGGTGAAGGCGGATGGGAGGCTAGGGTTTACCCTAGGTTTGAATAGGTCTGGCAACAACATAGATTTGTCCGGCGGCTCTACTTTGTAGCGGAGCATGTGTCGAGAAAGGCTCTTTCGTATAGTGCACTATGTTAACGGCTACTCTGTTCTGATTCGGATGGAGAAGATTGATGTGGTAGGCTATTGGGATGATAGGGATGTGGAGGCTGTTCACTTTTGGAGTAGTTGTGTTCGTGCAGTATTTTGGCCAAGAGATGGAGGCAATTCACGTGCAGATCAAGGTGATGAAGGAAGAAGATGAAGTGATAAAAACCCGCCCCCTCCTTAATTGCGTTTTACCCATTTTTAGTTTGTTAATTATGAACTCCGCTGCTATCGTTTTGCCTTTGGTTATAATTCATGGTGCTAGGTTTATTACGATGGCATCACTATGTGACACTCCTGAGGAGGAGGTTACAGGTTCGAATTGCATCTGAATTCGAGGATGTTGGCCTTAAGATAGAATACATACTATAATAGGCTAGGAAGCTCGGCCAAAAAATATAATGAGTTGATATTTTATGTGTAACTTTGCATTCTCACAACCGCGAAACTCGTAGTCAAAACCGCAAAATCAACCGGCTGGTCAAAATAATTACTCGTAATTCACAGCTGATTACCAAACTCAGCCATAGTTTCCTTAGTCCAACATGATTCTTTCTGGCGCGGTAAAAAGTGGTACTTGCAGAGTTTTATTTTTTGGGGGTGCCAAGTCTTTCCAAGTGCACTGTATCTGATGAACATTTAATTAAACTGGTTGTGGTTTGGGAAATTTTTAGGCCAACTACGGTAGGATCTTTTTTTATGATTTAATTGGTTTAGTAAGAATGAAGCAATTGATGTTCACATAAAAGAGCACGCAAGCATCAGAAATAGCACTATCTCATGTCTGAACCACAACTCAAATGGCCCCCTTTATCCCCAAGAGAATAATTTCAGTATGCCACAACCAAATGCAGCATTTGGTGACAGAATATATCAAAACCACTCTTAAATTCGGCGGTAATATGTTTACCCCACAAATGGGTGAAGTTGTAAGATCTATTAAAATCGTGACAAGTGTATGTTGTTTAATTTTACCTTTAACGCATACTCCCACCACCGTCCCTATATAAAAGTACTCATTCGTTTTCCACACATTTTAAGAAAGTGGGTTGGTTGCACTGTTTGGCACGGGATTCTGCAATTCACACCAAGTATCGCATTTCGCTACGTTCTTCATCGATGCGAGAGCCGAGATATCCGTTGTCGGGAGTCATATTGTTGTTTGCCAAAAAATGAAAGAAGACTTTTATTTAGGGACGGCCCGAAAAGGAAACATATGCTTTTGTTTAGGGACGGAGGGAGTTTTATCATGATCTCGAATGATGTTACATCTTTATTGTACCGTGTAACCTCATATCTCCATTCATCTCTAGTCAATAATATAGTGGATGAGTCATAGACCAGGTTTGGAACCCATAGTAATCTTAAAAGGATGACATTCTATACTTGAAGATCCTAGAACTGATCAGGCAGTTATCTACAAGATGTAAGTTGAGATTTGATCACTTTGGTAGAAAGGGAGAGATTTCATTTGAAGTCATTGTTTGGCACAGAATTCATAATAATCTAAAAAACACACAATAAAAAAAATCACACAATAGAGGCTTGAGGCTTGTATAGGTGGGGGTGGGGTGAGGATGGGTGGAGGTAGGTAAGGAAAGTGTCAACATGATGGAATAATAATGGGGTTGACTATTGGAACTGGCTTCTTACATTCAACACTTTATGTTGGTCGGATACGCAGTTATGCACCAAGTCGAAGTAGCTTTTACTTCATTTTGTTCTTTTATAGTATTGAGAATCTTTCCATTTTAACAGCTTCATACTTTAGGACTTAAGTTTAAATTTCAAGCTTTTTTACCTATTCTGTGTTCTATTTTTTTGCTGTTCTTTTCGTGAACATTTATGTATGTTATACTTTCAGAATGTACCGCATAGATCATATGTTCCTTGCATGAATGGGGTTGAAAAGTATAGAACCCTAACATGGTTTAGTTGGAAGAAAGGGACAACAAAGAGGGGGAGAATGGAGTACTACTTGAACTTTTTGGACAGATGGTTGAGGACAAAAATAATTAATTAGTAATTTATTAGGTATGTGGAAGTTCAAAATCTTTAGACTTCATGGAATTCTATTCTGTCTGAGAACTTAAACCTTTCTTTAAATTAAAGTAGATCAAGAGCTAGACGTGTGGTTGTGAGACTTTGAGCATTATTGTTTACTCCGTATAAAATATAGAGAAAGAGTATATGGTATCTACAATCATAATAAAGACAGATTTCAAAGTAATATTTTGCATTGTTTATTTCTAAGAAAAAAATACCAAAGTTATCTATCATTTCATTTCATAATAACAAGCTCGTCTCCGTTAGTATCCTACATTAATACTCCCTCGGTATCACATATATCTTCCCACTTTCATAGTGGGTGAGATTAAGAATAGTGAAAGATGATATAAATTATTGAGAGTGTGATAGGAAGATGGTGAAATAATGTGATGGAATGAATGATTAATCCAAAAAAAAAGTAGGTGTAATAGTGTATTATTTTTTAAATTATTGAGGGTATGATGGAAAGATTTAGAAATGCGAAGATATAAATGTTACATCCAAAAAAGGAAAGTGGAAAGATATGAATGTTACTCTGTATTTGATGGAAGAAAAGTGTTTATAGATGAAAACTGTGGACAAGTGCAGGGCGGAGCCAAGGGGCAAGGGTGGTCAACCGACCTCCTAAAAGTTTTGAAGCGTCGAAATACCTTCGATTTGATATATTATGAGTAAAAAGTTGTAATGACTGGAAAATTTAACATTATCTAAATTTGAAATAAGCAAAATTTGATTGTTATTGATTATATTCTTAAATTTAAAAGTAAAACACCTTATACACTCATTAGTTGTGTGAACTTTATAATACATTACGTGTGTGTGTGTATATATATATATATATATATATATATATATATATATATATATATATATATATATATATTAATATCATTTATCTCAGCTACATATGAAACATTTAATCCAAACATTGTTTAATAACGATCCACGTTTCGCTACACATGAAACATTTAACTCAAGTATTGTTCTAATAACGATCGATCATTTTGATACTATATATAATTAACTCAAGTATTGTTCTGATAGCGATCGATCATTTTGATATATACTTTCTTACTTTCCATTGAATCATACTTTTAGAGAAAATTACCCATGCATGACTAAAACTTTGTGTGTTTCCTAAGTCATACGAGTATATTTTTTCCTTAATATGATACTAATAGCACGTGGTGCATGATGTTTGCCGACAATATTGCATTGATTGATGAGACGCAATAGTGGTTAAAGCAAAGTTGGAAGTATGGCGACAAACATTTAAGAACAAGGATTTCAGACTAAGTCGGAGCAAGACATAGTACATGGAGTGCAAGTTTGGTGGAGGTAGAAGCAGTGGTAATAGCGGAATTACTCTAGATGGTAAGGAGATACCGGTCAATGATATGTTCCGTTACTTGGGCTCCATAATTCAGAAGAACGGTGAGTTAGATGGAGATGTGTCCCATAGAATCAGAACAGGGTGGATGAAGTGGAAGAGTGCGTCAAGATTTCTATGCGATCGAGGTATGCCGACTAGACTAAAGGGTAAATTTTATAGGACATCAATTAGACCTGCATTACTGTATGGCAAGGAGTGTTGAGCGGTGAAACAATGTCACATTCAAAAGATGAGTGTGGCAGAGATGCGCATGTTGCGTTGGATGTGTAGGCATACTAGAAAGGACCACGCGAGGAATGAGACAATAAGACAAAGGGTGAGAGTAGTACCTATTGAAGATAAGATGCGGGAGTCGCGCCTACGGTGGTTTGGTCATGTGCATAGAAGACCGAGTGATGCACTTGTCAGACGTGTTGAGATGTGTGGAGAAGAAGCGGGAAAGAGAGGGAGAGGAAGGCCCAAACAGACGTGCGTTAGAGGAGTCAGAAATGATATGCTTCTTCTTGGATTGGATGAGGGTATGGCGTTGGAGAGAGCAAAGTGGAGTGCGGGTATTAGTGTGGAGGAGTGATCTTGTATAATCTTTTCCCCTCTTTTTTTCTTATTTCTTATCCTTTTATCCTTATATATAAATATTATTTTTATCCTTTTTATTTTATCTTTTATATGTATATTCATCTCTTTTATATTATCTTTTTTATAATAGCTTATCTTTTTTATCTTTATTTTCTTTCTTTTCCTTTTGGTGATATCATGTATCGATTCATGTTAGCCGACCCCAATATTTTTTGGGACTAAGGCTTAGATGTTGTTGTTGTGGATGATACTAATAGCACGTATATATGTATATTGCATACCATCGTTTTCATTTTTCTTATTTCATTCAATCATAAATTAGTAAAGAATGGTCAATCTTGGATGGTCATATTTTGAAAATGGTCATGAGTTTTAATACCATATGTATTTTTCATCATTTTATATATTCCCTTCTATAATACGGAGTACCTTATTACCCTTTATTACCATATTTAATACGGTGCACTAGATATAAATTAAATGCGAGACAACAAGATCTTAATATATTTCC